GCTTAATACTGCTGTCTTTAAGATTTGAACAATAATATTTTTCTTTAAACTATAATATATATTTACGGGTATATCAATTACTTACTCAAGTAATGACTTTTGAGTTGTATACCTATTTTGAGTTGTTTTTTAAATATAAAAAACAAGCCCGGAACTAAAAAACCCCACCAACCACTCCAAGTCTCTTTCAGTCTACAGGTGGTGAGTCTGGAATCCAACAAAAAGCAGAGCACCACACATCCAATCATGGACCTTCGACCTCAGTCTTGTTTTAGGAAAATCTCGACTTATAAACCATTTCGTTTCTGATTTCCCACCTAGTGTGGGATATTGCTTTACCCACGCCACTCTCACTTGTAATTAACAAAGGAAATATTTCTTCCATACGAAACGCCTCTCGTTCAGCTCCATCTTCTTCTCCACTTCTAGATCAAATTAAGAAACAAAGTTTTCTTGAGAATCAAATGCTGAACAGTGCTCCTCCAAACCTGGTTCACTTTCCCTCCCTCCCTCTGTCATTGCTTTCATTGAATCAATGTTTTGATTATGCAGCTGTTGATACCACAGTGACCAAGGCTCGTACTTCATTTGAAGGTTGCTCCAAGTCGTCATTGCCAGCTAAAAAAGCGAGCCTGATGAAAGCGTTTGGGGATTTTGCTGAATATACGGATATCTCATTCGTAAGCTCAGACAGACCCAGCACTGATCGAAACTCGTCCTTGCTTTTCAATTCATTCGTCGATTAACAGCGATGTGGGATGTTTTGCGTCTGCTCAGTTCTTAGTTTTCACATCCGTTCTTCTCGTCTTGTTAAAACAACGAATAGGGAAAAAATCGTAAACCATTCATGCTCCATATATTATTTGTTCATGAGAATTGTTACCACCGCTCTGGTGTGCTCTGGGGATTAAAATTTTGAGGATGGATATCGAGCAAAAACAAGCAGAGTTAATCGATAGTGTCAGTTCAAGTGGGTTCAGCTCTTGGCTCCGTAATCCTCGAAGCGACATTGCATCCTTCCCTCTTCGCCTTCTCAATTCAAGTGGGAGTAAAAGCAGTGAAAACGGTGGCGTTAATGAAATCTATCAATGAGAAATAGTGGAGGCGTCTGTTAGCCTTTCAATATGTTTTTGTAGTTAGTATTTAGAAATTCATATGGATTGTATTGTCAACTATTTCTTCCTCTGTTTGTTGCCTGGTTTGCTCAATTTTGAATCATAAATTTTCGTTTGACATGTGAATTCAGATGAGTCACACAATAGGACATACTCAGAGTGAGGAATATGAGTCGGAAAATGCAGAGAAAATTGGTATTCAACGAGTTTCTCTCTTTTCGCTTTTGAATGATAAGTAATGGATGTTTCTCACATATGATTGCAGTTGATTCAGACATGCTGCGAAACCTGAAGAAACTGTTATGGGGTGAAGAAAAGAAAGGTAATCCTGGAATTCTATGTTTTTCTCTTTTTCCTAACATTTGTGCTCTCGTTGAGAGACTAAACTATGGTGAATGATACAGAGTCCATTAAAAGTCTTCATGGCACTGTTGCTCGTCATGAACATTTGCTGGGTTCTCTGCAAGTGCATGCCGAAGAGAAGAAACAAGTGAACGAAATGATCTACCAGACGCTTCAAGATGTGCAATATCAACTAGCAGTTATATCATCACAGTTGGGATTGACGTCCAAAGCACAACCTGAAATATTTAATTATGGAATTTGGCATTTTTAATATTTTTTGGACGTAAAATTTTTTATTTTTGTAGTAAATTAAATATTAAATTATGTAGAGTGTTAAGACATTTTTTAAGATTTTTTTTGGACCTGAGCACCATGTAGAAGTCTTCATCTCAAAACGCCTTATTTTATCCTCTAATTATGAAGATTTCTATATTTGTTAATAATGATGAAAAAAAACTATTTTTATACCAAATTATTTTTTTAATAAGATTGTGTGTTTTGAGGCGTTTTTCCCGATATATCACCTATACCCTAAACTATTCTCGGTCATGCACCGTTCAGACTATTTTTCCCGATATAACACCCTTTGCAGTAAGGCGCCCCCTACAGCACGCTTTACGCTGATATGGTGCCACGTGGGGTAAGGCGTGCCCCCTGAAGAGCACTTTAGGCTGATCTGGCGTCACGTGGGTATAGCGCGGGGCAGGGGCCGCGCTTTCCCTTTGAATCTGACACGCGTCACAAAGGCGCGCCTTAGGTTTAATTACCCACCTACCCCGGTCGTTCATACCCCACCCCCTCCCTATAAATACACTCATTCTCAATCACTTTCATCACACCAAATCCTCTCAACTTCTCTCAAAATACTCTTATATCCTATTTTAACTGTTTAAGGTATATTTTATTATATTTAATATTTTATTTTTAATTTATTTAAGTATTTTAATTTTTTAATATTTTATTTAATTAATTTTTTTTACAGATATAAAATGGAAGGAGGTCTACATCGTTTGGATGAAAATCATATATCGCGACATTTTGCTGATACGATAATTTAAGTTATTACTAATAATTTATTTATTTTATTTAATGTATGATTATTAGTTTAAAAATTAATTTGTGTAATTATTTAATTTTAGGAGAGAAACCGTGTATTAGATCATTTTTATTAGGAACCTTAAGTTAGTGATATCTAGCTGTGTCTTGTAGTATTCAGTAGAGGTTGGATTCGGTCACATAGGTAGATATGAGGGTCATTGGAAAATAGAACCAGATCTTATTCTGCCTTAGTAGAGCGGTGGAGGCCGGAGACCCACACATTCCATATTCCGTGCGGAGAGTGCACGATTACACTTGAGGATGTTTCCATGCACCTGGGGCTTCCGGTGGATGGAGATGTGATATCGGGGATGGCACACGGTTCATGGACTGCTTTGTGTCGGGATTATATAGGACGTGTCCCGGAAAGTTTTAACGGTGGTCAGATACCGTTAAATTGCTTAGATGCCAATTTTTGGGAGTTGAGCGAGGACGCCTCTGATGATGAAGTTAAAATGTATGCACGAGCATGCATACTGCAGTTGATAGAAGGGTTGCTGATGTCGGACAAATCGCGCAACCAAGTTCACTGTATGTGGTTGCGACATCTTGGCGACTTTCGTCTGGCCGGATCACTCAGTTGGGGCTCGGCAGTTTTGGCTTTCCTGTACAGGGAGATGTGTCGAGCAACTGACTACAGGAAAAATGCTATTGGCGGATGTCTCCTGCTGTTGCAGTCTTGGGCATGGTATCGATTGCCCTTTTTATGTCCCGTTGTGAAGAACTCATTCGTATTTCCGCTACTATTGAGTTAATTATAAAACTGATCTCGTATATTAATCATTTTATACAGTGTATAATAAATTTTGTTTTTTTTTGAATAGGTGGTCTACTGATAGGAAAAATCATCAAGAGCTACCTAATGATTTAGAAAAAATTAGGGTGCTAATCGATCATAAGGTTTACACACATGTATGCCTTTTAATGTTTAAAAATCGATTTTTAGATTATAGTTGTATAATTAGATTATTATTTTGATAAAAATTATATATATTTATTTTAGTTTGAATGGGTGTCATATTCTAATGATGATGTGAGGATAGTGATCCCACCTGAGTTGAGGGGCCCATTAGATGTTTGGATGGTGATGGTCTATTTGATATGTTATGCGGTCGTCGAGTGGCACTCCACTGATCGCGTGCTCCGACAATTTGATCGTTTTCAACCAATTCCGGAAGCACTTCGTAATATAGAATAGTTGCATAGCACAGATAGACACGGCAAGACCGATACAGATTGGCTGGTGAGGCATCACGAGTGGGTAGTGTTGTGGGAGGACCGACATCGGCTCCTTCCCCGTAGAGAGCCCATTTTTACAGTAACGGGAAACCATTTCTACTTTCCGAGGATACACAAGGGCAGACCTTTCGGCGACGTCGACAAAGACTTTCACCGACACAGCACCATCGTCCCCCGACTCGTGGACGGAGAGCAGGTGCTTCCGGTTCATCCTCAACTGCACCAGCATGACCTTCACAGCCACCGTCTACAACGACTTACCTTCTGCATCCATATGTGATGTCGCCATCGTTATTCCCTTACCCGATGTCGTCGCCGCCACCGTCATAGAGTTTTATGACCTCTCCTGGAAGATATTATGGGTCTGTGTTTGTAGATCTGACTTGGGGTTCATATGCCCATATTTTGGCGGGTTCAACCTCATCACCCATGGCCGCAGCACATACACCTCCTGTACAGTTTTCACACTCAGCGATGTCGGGGTTTTATGAGTTTTCCCAGTTTTCGCAGGCCGGTGGGATAGTCAGTCATACACCTCCAGTGTCCTTATTCTATGGAAATGCTTCATTGTCATCAGCGCCTCATCAACCTAATGTAGATGCTCACGACGACGACGACGATGATGGTGATGATGATGACAACGAGGAGTCACAACCACTGATACGAAGAAATCCTCCTCGAGACCGCCAGCCACCGCCCAACGGAACACATTTGCGTCGCAGCTTCGATAGATTTTGTTTTTTATTATATTTGTATTTAGTTGTTTATTGAACTTTTTTATTTTAATTTAATAATTGTATTCGATGACTTTCTTCAATTTGTCACTTATTGTAAGATCGAATGACATTAACTTGAAGTAAATGCAAATTAAAGTACAAGAATTCTTATTTGATAAACAACTACATCAGTTCCTCATAAATTGTTACTTGATGACAGCAAAAGTGGACATGTTTTTCTAGTGTGTCCTGGGTTTCTACAATGCCCACATCTTCTGTCTTGTCTAAATCTTTCTCGAATATCTATATCACAATGAATTCGATTAGATTTTGGACGACCACGCTTTAAATTTGGTACAATCGGAAGTCAATCCTAAACCTCATCAGGGTCTTTGTCATTATCTATGGGGGAACTCAAATTTATATACCTTAAAAAATTCAGATAGTATGTATACGGATCCATAAAACAGTTATAATTTTGACGTCTATGGAAGAGAGATACGAGCCATTGAAGGAGATTGGATCAGGGAATTTCGGAATCGCAAGGCTGGTGAAAGATAAGAAACATAGGAGCTTGTCGCGGTCAAATATATTGAAAGAGGAAAGAAGGTAATCTTATTCTTAATTTTTATCTTCGGATACTCTTCCTTCTGCTCTTCTTTTTGACTGTGATGGTGTTCTCGTTGATACTGAGAAGGATGGCCACCGGGTTTCGTTCATTGATACTTTCACAGAAGTAAATCCCATCTTCTTTTTATTTCTTCTTCTTGTCTGTTTGTAAATTTCTAGGGATTTTTTATGGTGTTAATTGCAGAAAGAATTGGGTGTTACGTGAGGGTCCGTATGGATCGGAGTGGGCAATTGAAGAGAAGGTGAAACGGAGAGAAATAGTTGCTCCAGAAGCACGCTATATATTTGTATGCAACAATGCCAATGATATGATGGACAGTGCCCCCACTCCCTTGCTTGGTTTCCTACATTACCGCTTCACTCTGGAGGAAGAGATGCCTGTTCTTTATTTATACGAATTGCAGTTGGATTCCTCTGTCCAGGGGAAAGGGATGGGAAAATTCTTGAAGGAATTAGTTGAGCTAATTGCTCAGGAGGTTAATAATCTTTACTAATGCCCTTGAGTGTATTATTTTACCGGTTCATTGTGTTTAACAGAATTTAAGATAATGTTCTCAATCAAATGTTGCTTTAAACTCTATCAAACTAAATTTCAGGTTCTACGATGTGATTCCTTGCTTTGCATTTTATCCTTCTCTTAGAATCGGATGAGTGCCGTGGTGTTATCTGTTCAAAAATCAAACTCGTCGGCCATGAAGTTCTATATAAGCAAACTAAGGTCAGATTTTCACTGTCTAGGATTGTTGTTTACTTACTGATGCACTCCCTCGTTTTGTATAATCTTGTCATTCCTGCTTTGCACTTGTTTATAAGTGTTATGTGTTGCAAGGCTAAGATATGAGCAGCAAATCGATAAATCTATAGGCTAAGGCTCTGGTTTCTGTAAGCAATCTAAGGTTTATAATGAATCAAGTTATGCTACACCTAGTAATAAGTTTGATCCTTCTGTTAATTTGTTTGTGCCAATAACAGGAAGTAAAACCTCTGATTCTCGATGTTGTTCGAAAAGCAGAACACCTTCTTGTTAATGACCAATAAGCCGATTAATTATTCTGTTTTATCCATGTCCGATTGTGTTTCTCCATGGAAGGTTTTGTATGGTTGACAGTCGTTTGCCACTGATTGAGAATAAACGCTTCTCCGCCGTCGTCGTAGTAGAGGTTTCGATTCAGTCACTAGGGAGGTTGTCCACTTAACTGTGGTTCTGTTGCCCAGTGGTTCTTAGGAGATTTATGTTTTCGAAAACAAAGTGTGGTTATGACATGATATATCTAGGACAGAAATGTTTATGTTATCTGAAATTGTCTTTGATAAATTACTAGTGTCACATGTGTAAGGAATAATGCCTTTGTGTTTCAATGTTCCAAATAGGTGGAGAGGATAGAACTTACCATAGCATTGACCATTTGGCAAACGTAAAGTAAAACTTTGGCATCCATAGGGGTCTGAAAATGGTCGAGAAGGAAACTGAAAAAATGAGTGAGGGAATGTACATAAGCTGTCCATTCTTCATTTATTTGATATATTATTTGAAAAAAAAGTCGTGTAAATCTAGTTGAAGTTTTTTTGATAAAAATATAATCTTCATTCCTTCTTATTTTTTGTTTCTGAATCTGCATGCATTAGTTTGTTTGCACCAAACCTCATCCACATCATGATATTCAATCTAATAATCTATGCTAAGTGGGGTGTGTCAAGGGTACTAAAACCCTTATATTGCCTGAAATGCAATGAGTGAAAAAAAGCATTCACTTCGTTAAGGTGCAATATTCTGTCGATGTTTTTGTATTTATGTGTTTACGCGCACGTGTGTATAACACATGCATTATATGCAAGTGTATAATGCTTTTTTCTGTGCTCATGTTTAAGAAAGAGTTGAACATGTTATTCTGGTGTAAATTTAAGCCTCAGATAGTATGTATTATATTTGGTTTTTTATGAGCACTTTCTGGTTTGTTCCTAACATTTGTGTCGCTGAGTGTTTTATGCATAACTTAAATCAGTTATATGAGATTGCCAATGCATAACTCCGAATATTTGATTGTATTGTATACTTATCATAGGTTTGGTGAAGTGCATTGTGATAATATTGGTGCATTGTGATAATATTGGTCTGTTTAATACATGTTCAAAACTAAATACTACCCTTTTAGTAATTTTCTTTAAATGGCACATTAGTAGTGCCATTAATTTATTTGTTTAACATTCTGTTCAATTCAATCATAGTGGTCTTTCTCACTATTGTTAATCAAAGTAAATCTCTAGGCTTTGCTACTAGTCATTTGCTTTGAACGACTCAATAAGGTTGAAAGTAAATCTGTAGGTGATCCATAAATCTTTGGACTTGTGCTAAGAAAACTCTGTTTTGGTGCACAAATGCAGAGGAATAAACTTTCGACAATGATGTAGGGAAGTCAATAACAAAATATAGGGATTTTGTTTAGCCATTTGGTGCATGCCCCATACAAATTCTACCCTTTCAGGGATTGCATCCACTACCTTTTGAAGCTTTATGATATTAGCTTTAAGGTGTTAGCTACCTTGACCTGTGTTTTAACTTGGTTTACTGTAGCTCAATGTAATCCCTAAAACCTAACAATCGATTTCAAGAGATTAATTATTCTTTGCGAAAAGGATGAAGAACAACCATACACAAAAATACAAAGAGACAAACAGCAGAAGGTGAGAGTCGAAAGAAAAGGCTAACTTACTGGCCTTGTGTTCATCTCCATTTGACTTCTTTAATGATGTATTGAAAATGACAACCAGGTAGTGTGTGATCTTCACTCTTGACACCTGCCTAATTTTTCCTTTTGCTAATACATTAATTCTCTTGGAATATGAAATGAGTCAACGCATCTATGAAATCCGTTGAAACTCTGTAGAATATGTTTGGTCATTAAAATCAAAGTTGATTTGTATCTGTCACTTCCTTGCACCTGAAATCCGTTGTGGTGCCTGTTTTCTGCAATTATAAAGTGGATATTTCTTCTTCATTTTTCGTTTTCTCCTGAAGGTAGAAAATAGCTAGGAAAGGTTCACTTGCTTCTTGTATTATTTTGATTCTAGGTTGGCCTGAAGGGTGAATTCCAGAAGATATTCACCATAGAAGAAAATGAGAAAGCCGGATGGACTGAATTGAAGCCTGATTCTACTCCCTCCCCATTTACTTAGTACAAAGTAAGTTTTTTCCTTCAACTGTTGTAGTTAGCCTAGCATTTACCATGATGGAATATTACTACATGGTTTCTTGTTTCTTAAAACACTTATCTGTAAGGACTTTTATCTCCTAAGAGAGTTTTAATTAAAATAAAACTGATCCTAATAAACTAATTCTTTCTACAAATGTTAATATTTTTACTAATATAATTAATAAATTTCTTTTATTATTGATAAATGTTCTTAGGTAATTTAATTTTAAAATCCATATCATATCTCTAAATTTAAATCTAATAAAAATACGTTGAATTATTATCATTCTTAAATATAAGAAAACGATTAGAAAACTGCTAGTTGTACTGTTGTCATATAAAAATTTCTATCTACTTCTAGTGGAATTTTATCACCTCTCGAGTCCTAATGGTTTTTCTTGCCGATCCTCTTTTTATTATGGGTAAATTACGCTATTCATCACCTAACTATCTTCCCACTCCAGATTTGGTCACTAAAATTTAAAAAAAATCAATTTAATCACTGAACTTTAGAATTGTTTCTGCTTTGGTCACTTCACTGTTGTTATCACATTTTGATTCCTTTGACGTTCTTTTTATTTTGATTTTACCATTTGGCTTCTTTCCTTATTATCTCGTTTTTATTCCTTTGAAGTAAACCCTAAACCCTGAGCCCCAAAAAGTAAGCCCGAACCAAAAAGCTCGCCCTCCACCCTTAGTTTCTTCCTGCGCACGTGGAAGATTTGAGGGCAGCCGCAAGCCCACCCAAACTTGCAGCTGCTACAAAATATGGGCCGAAGGCCTTTATTCATATTCTTGGCTTTTTAGTTTATAAACCATTTCTTTTCTTATTTCCAAAACGATGTGGGATAATGCATTTTTTTCTTGTTTCCACCACGAGCATTCTGCCAAAGATGAAGCTAAACTCACAGCTTGAAAATGGCTTCCACTGCCATCTCTCTTTCACTACCGCCATTCCCTTCTTCGAGTGTTAAACCCAAAGCTTCCGTCTTCAGCAACTGCCATTTATTCATTGCAAAAAACTCACCATCTTCTTCTTCACTCCTGACTTCAACATCAACACCAAGAAGAACAGAGCAAGTTTGTACTGCTTTCAGGATCAAATGGTCATCGGCTTCTTCTTCTTCGGATACTCTTCCTTCTGCTCCTATTTTTGACTGTGATGGTGTTCTCGTTGATACTGAGAATGATGGCCACCGGGTTTCGTTCAATTGCTTCCAATTTTCCCCTCGAAATTTGATTGGGTTTTTGTTTTGTGTGTTGGGTATTTGGTTATGTTGTAGAATTCGCCATGTTTATTGAATTTTAGGATTTGGGTTTTATTAAAGAATCCGTGAATTAGAATATTTTTGTTTTCTTTGAGATGGTTGGATGCTTGTTTCTTTCCGAGTTATCATTGAACACCATTTTTGGATAATCATTGCATTTCCGTCTCATTATCAGTCATCATATTGGAAATCTACATGAACAGGGAAACACTCTGGTTGTCCGTTTCCCTTCGTTGGAAAGAAGCTGAAGAACGTCAAGCCCGTGAGCTCAAAGCCGGTTTGAATCTGACCCAACAGGTGATTTGTGTATTCTTCTATCTTACTTTGATGTTCTTTTGTTTAGTTTACAACCCACACGGTTAGATACGAAATCACCTTGGAGAGATACGAAAAAGAGATGGGAAACATTAACAGTTAGATATCTTGGAGTAAGGTTGTATTGTTTATTAGTGGTTGTGTTTAGGTAGGTTTCTTTTTTTTCCCCATGTTAATTGAATTTCAGTTTCTCAATCGTTTTGGAGTTATGCTCAAATCTTTCTCTCTTTTTTTCCCTCTTCTCATCACTGCAAATACTGGTGACGGAAGAGAAGATGGTTGCTGCCATTTCCAGGATATCATCGACGGAATCATTTGCTTCTGGTTCTTGAATCGGGACAATATAAATGTCTGATACTTTAAGAAGAAAAAAACGAAGAGACCAGCTGATATGATGTTTAAGTACAGAATCTCATATCAAGAAAGTTAACTGATGAATTCCCTCATCACCTCGGAATCTCGATAATGGTTGTCGTCGTAGTTTTCATTTTATGTGTAAGTTTAACCCTGCGTTCCTCTGTCACGTCTTTTGTCTCCAAGGTCATGTATCTAACTCTACTTATGGTAACACTAAGATGGTTTCACAACCTCATGTCTTTGAAAATGATTAAACGCCAATGCCAGCATACTTTTGAATAAACTGGAGACTTGCTATTTGATGTTTTGTATTCATCTGTTGGTGTGCCATCCGAAGGCATGATTTTAAGCCGTTCTAGAAATTTCACAGTGCATCGTATTCGTTAAGTCTTTGTTGTTATGAACTGCAGTCAGTGAAACCCGTGTTCAATCATGTGATTGCAGTGAACATGCTGGGGAAAATTGCATTAGGAAGGCAGAGGAATCAAACAGAACAGATTGACTCACAATCATTGTAATCTTTCATTCTTTTGAAATCCATTAAACCAAGTTCTTGTGACAGCTCTTGTAACAGATTGGCTTAACTCATTGTAATCTTTTCTATGCTTTTGCACCAGTCTCCTATTCATGAATAATGAAGCTGAAAATTTATGAAATATTCCGTTTCAGTTTTTTATATGATCCTTGCAGATGCAGCTGTTTCAAGCAGATGGAAGCTTAAGTCAGAAATATCTGTTGATTTGGAACTAATGGATTTGTTGCATCAAGACATGGGTGGAGATGAAAGAATTGCTGCACATCTGTTCTTCCTCACTCTGGCTGCATGTAATACTGTGATCCCAATTGTTTCTCAGGATGCTTCTTCTGGTCATGATAGAAGTGACTCATGGGGAGAGGTGAAAGCTATTAATTATCAGGGTGAATCACCTGATGAGCAAGCACTAGTTTCTGCAGCCTCTGCTTATGGGTATACTCTACATGAACGAACGTCAGGTCATTTTGTGATCGATGTCAATGGTGATAAACTGAGGTATATGATTTGTATGGTTTGTTCTTCTGTTTCCATGCTGCATATTTGATCATTTTCTACTGATCCTGCCCTAGCAATTTTCCCAACGCCAACTATCTAGTTTTCTCTATGCAATTTGTTGCGTTAAAATATAACTTCCGTGTTTCAGGTTTTGGGGTTGCATGAGTTTGATAGTGTGCGCAAGAGATTGTCAATTGTTATAAGATTTCCAGACAATACAATCAAGGTGATAGTGAAAGGTGTTGTTACCGCAATGTTCAGCATTTTATCAAGAGAAACTGAGAAGGATGATCAGATTAGACAAGTAACTCAAACTCATTTGACCGATTACTCGTCAGAAGGTCTCCGCACTCTTGTAGTTTCTGCAAGGAATATACCTTAGGAAGAATGTGATGTTGAAATTGTTTATTCAGCATCTAATTTATTTATATATACCATTTAAAACTTACAATATTTTTTTTTCATTTGAGCAGTTGACATATTTTGGGCTATCAAATGTTGGTCTCATCAACAGTACTGATGACTTGTCTGGTCCAGCAGTTAGCGGAACATCTCTACTTGATGATGAGCAGCAGTTATGTGCATCTGAGCATCAGCACGAGAGCGGAAGAAACGTTCTGCTGTTGGTACACCTGACTATTTGGTGCCTGAGATTCTTTTGGGAACAGGACATGGTTCGTATAACCTTTTTTTAGTTAAGGTGCTCTAATTATATTTTCGTTACCTGCGTTCCTTAAAGATCAAGTTTGATTAATTTGGTCAACCTGAAATTTTGTATATACCATATGCTTAAGCAATATAGATTCTAGCTATTTGGTTGATTAATTTAATTTATGACTGATATCCTGGTTATAATTAGCTCAAAATCCATGGTAGCTGAATAAGTTCTAATTTGTGTATTTGGTAGTATTGCATTCTAAGTAGCAAGCTCATAACACCATCCAAATTTTCTCAGGTGCAACAGCAGATTGTTGGTCTGTAGGTGTCATTTTATTTGAAATGATTGTTGGAATTCCATCCTTCAATGCAGAGCATCCGCAGGTAATATCTTGATTCTATGAGTTCTAGTTCTTGCCAGTACCACTCCCTTTCTTCCTTATCGAACTCAATCATTTCTTTGATTGGCATTCAATGACAAGAGTCAATGATGTTTTACCTTCATAATTTCATTGTGGTAAATTGGTAATGCATGAATTGGAAGACATAAGCCATCAAATTCAGTTTTTTGTGGCAGTGTTATAAACTGCTGAGACAGTATGGGGAGTACAATGGTTCTTTTCTAGAATATTGGACAATCAAGGTGTATCTTCTGTTTGATTGAGTGAAAACTACATGGCTGTCATGTTGGACTTACCCATTACTTTTCAGTTAGTTTTGGGACTCTGGACTTGAGACATACGGGAAACATGATACTTCTTAAAAAGAAACGATAATCATTTGGTTCAAAAAGCAGGGATACTTGGATACTCTAATGATGATGCCATTGATGGGTTTCTTTCAAGTTTTTGTAGATTGTTACTGTTGGAGTGCTTCTAAATTATTAGTGGGCCACTGACAATGAAATTGCATTTTAAATTAGTTCTCATTCTTACATTCATTCTCTTTCATATTTTGGTTCTAGATAATATTTGATAATATTCTCAACCGTAAAATACCTTGGCCACGGGCACCATAAGAAATAAGCCTGGAAGCAAAAGATCTAATTGATGGGTAAGAAAACTATTTTGTTGATGTCATTGGCATTTCATGACAATTAGATTCATCATTCATCTTGAAATAAATTACAGTTGTAATGCAAAAAAGCAGTAGCCCAAGTGATTTCTTGTTACATTATTGATGGACATAATTTTTTGAGTTCAAGGAAATTCTACGGAGCATTCATGGTTGCAGAGTAACTGTTCTGTATTTGCTTATGACTTTGCTTAAGATAGGTTTCAGTCCTATAGATTGAAAAATAAATCCATGTACTTTGTTGATTGTCTGTGTAATCTAATTATCTCCTCGTCAAAAAAGTGAAAAAAACATTTCTAGAACATCAAGGTATGTAGATCTTACAGTGTTTTCACATCTTCATATATAAAGTATCCTCGTTGGCAAAATGATAGCGATATCCTTAACTTTAATATTTTCTCAATAAGATATACTCTGCTTTGAGATGTTTTATCAAGGTTTCTTCAGAATCACCTTTTTCAATTTTAAGTATCCCAAGAAGAATCTTAGTTATTGTAATGCTCTTTTCTTGTTTTAATATTTTTCTTGGTTCAAGTGCCCCAGTATGGAATTAAATTTTAATATGTACTCCATTTTCAGACTGTCGACTGAAGATCCTCATCAGACTTGGATCCAGAGGAGCATCCGAGGTGATATTTATTCTTAATACGAGTACAACCTTTGGTTGTTTCGTGTTCCTTTTCTTTATACTTATGGGTGCACGCTTTTCTTAATTGTCTGTCTTAGATGTTTGATTAACGAACGATGAAATTTTTAACCAGGTGAAGCAGCATGTATTTTTCAAAGATATCAATTGGGACACACTTACAAGGCAGAAGGTGAGCCATGTTATTGTTTCCAAGTGTCTTCCATTTACTCACCTTGCTTACCACATTTTACAGGCTGCATTTGTTCCCAGTTCAGAGAGTGCGCTTGATACTAGTTACTTTACAAGTCGTTACTCATGTAATACTTCAAATGAGCATGCATATTTTATCAAAAAAAATGAGCATGCATATCCTGGTAGTGAATTTGATGATTCAAGTGAGGCTGACAGCTTAAGTGGTAGTAGTAGTTGCCTGAGCAACCGCCAAGAGGAAGTGGTATTTTAGCCCCAGAAATGTGCAATTTCTTAAGTGATCATTATGATTATCAATGATTTCTGTTTTTGACTTTCTGTTGGTCTGTTGGCCACAAATGAAGCAGGGAGATGAATTTGGAGGTCTTGCTGAAATTGAGTCCGGTTCATCTGTCAATTATTCTTTCAGTAATTTCTCATTTAAGGTATTCTTTGACCTTGTAATTGCATCGGGTATTTCTTTCAGTTTGAATATAAGTGCATTAGTTTGGTTTTTACATAAATAATTTACCCCCTCTTTTTTGGTCTTTTACTTGGTTTTCAGAACTCATGAAATTTTGTACGCAACAACATATCCTTTTCTGCAACATGTCATTGTATTAATGGTGTTGATTTGAAATAGCTCGAAGATTTTTGTATATGGACATATCGCTTGATGGTTATACTAATTTGTTTGTTTTCTTGATCCTGACTGTGTTGATCGACGTGGTTTGGTAGAATCTGTCCCAGCTGGCCAAGTTTGATTACAGATTGGCCAACAACATCGATGACGAGCTACAAAAGTTGCGTTGACGGGCTAATTATCATGCTTTAAGATTTACGAAACCTATTCAAGAACTTGGGCAGAAACTTGTAACGAGAATGCGTGCGATGGCAAAACATTTCAGAATGTACTCACGATACGTAACTTGGAATCTGAGAGTTTAATAACTAGTGATCAGAATGTTCATTTTGCAGGTTACAATGAATGGACAAGCTAGAAGATTTTCATAGCAAAATCCAACATGAATATGTTAATAAGAAATCTCCAATAATTAGAAAAGGAGAAAAAAAACACACGCTCACAATACTTTCAGACAACCAGCTATTACAGAGAGGTAGGGATTATTCTGGTTCAGTTTCATGAAATATCTTGCAAAAAAACATTAATTGTTAGTTACAAGGATAAATCGCCCACCTTCTTAGTGTCCATTCCTCTTGGACCCAAATCAATATAAAATGGGGACCCACCAATATTTTCTGATAGAACCTCGTGCACTTGTCTTCCAGCCATGCTGCAGGATTCCAAAAGTTACATTTAGATTAGAGCTCCTAAAAATGGCATTGGGGCTATCAAAGAAAAGATGGATGTCAGTGTAAATTCAAGAAAATTGAGGCTGCAAAACTACCATCCTACAGATTAAAGACCAATTACCCAAGTAACAAAGTCAAAGAGAAAATGAAAGCCCGAACCCCAAGTACCGCTGATAGTTCTGAGATTTTTCAGATTCCAATACATAAAGATAGAATCCAGATAATACAACAAAACAGGTCTGGCATGAAGCAACATAGTTTCCAATACCCTGAACCAACAAAGTTAATTATGGTTAAAATCAGTTGCATACAGTCAAGTACCAGTATAGATCTAGCTTTTACAATGGAGTTAAAAGCGAACCCGCTGCTTTCTTCTTTCCCCCAATGTGGGATTATGGTCTACCCCTGACAAAATTCATGCTTCTCTGCTTTCTATCGTGATTAACCACAGTACAACCGAATCAACGCTCCAGAATTTTTCACTTTTTACTAATCTGGAAAATTTGCGGAGATGTCTTGAAAAACTGACTGTTCCTCAATTATCCAACGCCACTGTTCCTTTTAGGAACTTGCAGACACTATCCATGGTTCTCTGCAAAGTTAGTAACAGCCTCGACCCATCGGTGCTTGACCTGCCTCAGATCTTCCCTCGTTTATCAGAGCTGGTAATCGAGTATTGTGATGATCTGGTTAAGCTACCCTTGAGCATTTGTAAGGTGAATTCACTACAAAGTATGAGCATAACCAACTGCCACCGGTTACGTGAATTGCCTGCTGAAAAACAGGTAGCTCCTAAACCTTTTGTTATTATTTCTATATATTTCTTAGTTTTCTGTTGAAGAAGCATGAATAACCACTTCTTATATACAAAAATGTCCGATTTAATTTAATTTACATTATTATCCAAAGGCTAAGCTAGGTGAAAAATACCAACTTCTACTATGACGAAAAACTCAAGACATGGGTGGAGGAAGGTGTTGAACCTCCAGCTTAAGGAACAGCCTTGCCACCACCTCCAACCACTGTTGCATTCCAAAATGAAACATCTATCTACAACTTCCACTCATTGAAGAATGAGGGTTCCCCCCAACAGAAACCCAAAATTCCAAAACCCAACCCCAATAGAACATGCTTCCGGGATCCCTCCTATTCCTACAAGCTCCAATCAATTCTTAGCTCGTGGACGGATTGGTGTTCGAGCAAGGTACTTCTGAAGTTTTATTTGTTAGCAATGCATGCTATTGCAGTTGAATGATGCTATGGAACTTACTTGATGGGGGAAAAGGCTTTAAAGGGAAATGAATGTTGAAAGTAAAGATAAGGTCATAAATGTAGAATTTTTCATTAGACTTGGTTAATATTTAGCTCGCTATCTAAACATAAGGTAATAACTAGATAAGTAAATAATGATTTAATTGACTGTGAACACCTAGATCATAATTCCCTAATTTATTGTACATAATCATATCATCATTTATATTCATAACACATAGCTCATATTTTGTTCTCTTATGCTTACATAGATCCTATAACATATATTGTAGCGTACTAACACGTATCACATATATAAATTCATTTATATATAAATTTCTTATTTCTCTTAATTCAAGTTTACATTACTCTTATAACCTTTTTCCTATGACTTCATAGATCTTTACCATGTAATTTCTATATCATAGCTCATCTAAGCACATTAATCTTTTTCATACATCTTATCTCTCATATGATTATCATTATTTATGTACAGATCTCCTAATTGATATTCTATTTTCATATTGTCCTATAAATCAATGCTAGTTAGTTTATCTCACTATTCATTTAATACTATAAGTAAATTATAATAGTTTCCATAAACTTGACTCGTGTAATTTATGTTTTGCTATTATATCTTGATCTAAACATATATTTACATGTTCATGATCACTTAACTTATTTTCTTTCTATGGTTATCACATACAACATTTACTATTATACATGATTCGTGACCTTATAATTTATTTCACATATTCATACAGCTTATAAGGTTCGCATATAGTTACATATTTCGTTCCCATATAACCCATATCATATAAATTCATATCTCATAACATATAATATGAACAAAGCATATACACATAATACAACTTAATCATGCTTCTATTCATGCAAACATAAAATATTGGAAACAAACTTATCACAAGTCTAATTTCCATAATAATATGCACAATCTAATAATATGCACTCACCTTGGCCTCACTAAGTTCCAATCCACTTTTATGATTTCCTCTCTTTCGATCGAATCTTAACTTGATAATCGTTCTGGAACTTGTTCATGTTCGATATCTACACAATCATACATTGATGCAATCAGTATCCCATTGATATACTTTAATCTATAATTTCTTATACCAAAAGAAATGTCTATTTCAATTTCCCCTTGAAGTGCATCGATGCATTCTACAGTGCATCGATGCATTCTTTAACATGTGCATCGATGCACTACCCATGCACTCCTTATGCATCGATGCACTAACTGCATTCGATGTTTCCATTTTTTATGGGTGCATCGATGCACTTCCTGTATATCGATACACTCTGAATAATTTCTGGAAATTTACCCTTGATGCATCAGTGCACATTGAATATGCATCGATGCAAATAGCCCATAATTCATTTTGAAGCCCGAAAATCTACTCAAATCAACTCAAATGCTTTATCTTTCATCCCCTTTCATGTTCTCAACTCATATACACATGCTTAAACCAATTTATATCCATATAAACCATCTTTAACTTCAAAATTCTACTCCTCACATGTAACTCAAGAATTAAACCAACTTTGCAATATGTTTTGATTCCAATTCTATGGATTCTAACTTCTTAATTAGACCCTTGATAAGTCAAATTTAACTTTCAACTCTAGTTATGAACTCTATTCTAAGATTTCATCCAAGAACCTCAAATCTTTAATCCCTCCTAACTCCATCATACATTGATTTTAAAATAACGTAAGCTTTCCTTAAGCTTAGTTATCATCTAATAATCAAAACTCAGTCTTAAATTTAACCAAAAACTCAATATTCAGAAAACTCACCTTTGGCTCTTGGTTTTTACGCGTAAGGAAGAAGAAAGATGAGGAGAATTCTGGAAACCATTTTGTTTCCTCTTCCCTTCCACGTGTTTAATATATAATCATATTTAAATATTTTCCTTGCAAATGACCCTTTTGCCCTTCAATTCACCTTATAATTACTAAAATCTTTTAGGCAATAATTCAAAATAAATCATTAAACTATTTCATTCTTCTACTTTAGTCACCAAATTATGAAACTTTACAATTTAGTCACTAACCCGGTATTACGGATGTTATAAATCTCCCCCCCTTTTTAAGAAAATTCATCCTCAATTTCACTGAACATTTTGATAAAAACTTATCTTCTAATGTTCTCATATTGCTTCATTTACTTTTCAATTACCTTTTTCCTTTATACATTCATATCATGTCACTTATCATTTAAACCCTTAACCCTAAACCTCAAACCCCAAAAAGTAAGCTCGGGCCAAAAAGCCCGTCCACCACCCTAAGTTTCTTCCTGCACACGTGAAAGACTCAAGGGTAGCCGCAAGCCCACCCAAACTTGCAGCTGCTACCATCACATGGGCCGAAGGCCTACCCCTGCACAAAAGTGCACATAGCCTTCAGCTCATAAGGTTCACATATAGTTACATATTTCGTTCCATATAACCCATATCATATAAATTCATATCTCATAACATATAATATGAACAAAGCATATACACATAATACAACTTAATCATGCTTCTATTCATGCAAACATAAAATATTGGAAACAAACTTATCACAAGTCTAATTTCCATATAATAATATGCACAATCTAATAATATGCACTCACCTTGGCCTCACTAAGTTCCAATCCACTTTTATGATTTCCTCTCTTTCGATCGAATCTTAACTTGATAATCGTTCTGGAACTTGTTCATGTTCGATATCTATACAATCATACATTGATACATATCCGTATCCCATTGATATACTCTAATCTATCATTTCGTATACCAAAAGAAATGTCTATTTCAATTTCCCCTTGAAGTGCATCGATGCATTCTTTAACATGTGCATCGATGCACTACCCATGCATCGATACACAAATCACCTTCGATGTTTTCATTTTAAGGGGGTGCATCGATGCACTCCTTATGCATCGATGCACTAACTGCATTCGATGTTTCCATTTTTTATGGGTGCATCGATGCACTTCCTGTACATTGATACACTCTGAATAATTTTTGGAAATTTACCCTTGATGCATCAGTGCACGTTGAATGTGCATCGATGCACATAGCCCAGAATTCATTTTGAAGGCCGAAAATCTACTCAAATCAACTCAAATGCTTCATCTTTCATCCCCTTTCATGTTCTCAACTCATATACACATGCTTAAACCAATTTATATCCATATAAACCATCTTTAACTTCAAAATTTTACTCCTCATATGTAACTAAAGAATTAAACCAACTTTGCAATATGTTTTGATTCCAATTCTATGGCCTCTAACTTCTTAATTAGACCCTTGATAAGTCAAA